CAGTAATACCTACGTCTTGAGGTTCCTTTGACAGTTAATTATAACATCATGATACACCCAGCACCTATTAGGTGCTCAATAGATGACCTTCCACATCCCTGTATTATCAACTCCCTTGGCCCCGTTCTCCCCCTATCTGCTCTACTTTCTAGATCAGTCACCCCCACCACCCCCAAGTCTCCCCCACACCAGCGGGCGTGTCACTTCCTCTGCAGTCTCCCAGATCAGTACACAAAGCTGCCTCTGCCGCCGCTGCTGCAAGAGGAAAGACTGCTCTGCTCGCACCTGTGAGTACCAGGGCACCAGCCCTCCTGCTTCTCCTTCCTAGTCCAGGCCCCAGCTGGTCCCAACCTCTCCGGGGAGAGGGTTCTGACCTGAAGACACCCAGGATTCAGCTGAAACTTGACAAATGCTCTGAATTCCTTTCTGCATTCCAATTTCCCATCTTGTTCCCCCCTCCAGTTTCATAAGCTCTCCTCTCAACCTCTCTCTCTTGCATCAGTTTCCCAAGAAGGGGGCTGAGGGAAAGGATAAGTGCTATCATCTGAGTGCCTGCCACTTGCCAAAGATTATGTCAAGATATTCCCCAATGTTACTCCCCAGCCATCCCTGCTGCTTAAGGAGCTCATGTGGGGGTTGGGGGGTGCTGCTCAGCTCAGGCCTCCTCTGTGGCATCTTAGCCACAGATCCCACACTCCCAGGAAACTGTAGCCAGTGGCTCAGTTCTCTTTCCTCCTGAAGACTCCAAGTGGGCAGCAGAGGACTCTGCTTGACTTGGGAAGATCTGAATGGATTGGGAAGCAGCTCTGTCCCTCAGCTGCTGAGGGAATAGTAGGGTGTGTATTGCTGTCAGAATTGAGTCCAGGAATGGGACGACCACGAAGGAGAGGGGGGCTGCCAAAGAAGACCTCCCCTCAAGGACAGAGAAAGGGATTAGGTAGGGGCTACTTTCAAAGATGATGGTGCTCAGGTTGGAGGAAAGGAAGGCAGTCAACCAACCACAGGGCCCTACCTGTCTCAGTCTCTCTTCTACCTCTAGTGCACAGTGTGACTCTGAGCAAGTCACTGACCACTCTGGAATTCAAGTTTCTGTTTGTAAAAAGAGGGAATTGAAGTAGAAGATTCTGCCATTCTGTAGTTAGGATCAGAGAGAAAAAGAAGCAAAATAAAACTTCTAAAAAAGTAGAGAAGAGAAAAGTAGCAGATTAAGAGAAGTGGCAGGTCATGCTTCCATAATGGGGGGAGAGCAAGTAGGAGGGGAGAATTAGGAGAAGGGGGTCGGGGTGGACTGTCCAGGAAGTCCCAGGGCTCCCTTTAGAGGAAATGAGTGGGGCTTGAAATTTCTGTGTTTGTCCTATCCATGGAACCAGTGTGCCATGGGGGGCCCCTACTTGTGAGAGATGAGTCAAAAGTGGGCTTACTGCTAGAGCATCTCCAACCTCCCTGACCACAGGCGTGCAGAGCAGGCAAGGCTGAGGTTACACTGAGGCTGAGCCCTTGGCTGGCCTCTCACAGGAGGGTGGGGCCTCGGTTACATGTACATTCTATGCCTGAGGTCACAGGTGGCGGGGAGCAGGACAGGGTGGTCAACGAATTGGCACCCCACCCCTTCCCGACGCTCTGTGCAGAGTATCAGGATTTGAGTCTAGGTCCAGGCTGAGGAGGAGGCAGATGCTTCATAGCAAAGAGTAAGCTGGCCTTTTTCATTCACCACTAATGGGAATGTAAACTGGCTTAGTCCCTAAAGAGGTTATGTTGGCAATACTCAGCAATATTACAAGCGATACTGATTTATTGATCTTACAAATCCTCTTCTGGGAATTTATCCTGCAGATTCACTTGCACACATGTGAAGTAATGAATATATGAATTTTCACTGCAGCATTATTTACACTAGTGAACAATTAGAAACAATTAAAATCCTGATCATAAAAGACTACAATATATTCATGCAATGGAAAACTATATGGCTGTAAAAATGAATAAAGAAGTTCTTTATTTTCTTGGGTAGCAGTATCTCTAAGAAAAGTAGTTAAAAGAAAAAGCCCTGGCTGGTGTGGCTTAGTGGATTGAATGTCAGCCTGCAAACCAGAGGGTCACCAGTTTGATTCCCAAATAGGGCACATGCTAGGTAGCAGGCCAGGTCCTTAGTGGGGGATGCGTGAGAGGCAACCACACATTGATGTTTCTCTTCCTCTCCTCCCTTCTCCTCTGTCTAAAAAATAAATAAATAAAATCTTTTTTAAAAAAAAGGTAAGATGCAAAACTGTGTCTTCTACCATTTGCAGAATTCTATCATTTGATTCTTCCATTTGAAGAGTACATATACATATACACACGTGTTTGTATATGTTTGTATACGTATAAAACAATCTCTAGAAAGACTAGAAGCAACAAAATATAGTAATAAATGATGGTTATTTATTTGGAAACGGGGATAGGGGCTGGGACTGGGAGATTTCTAATTTACCTTTGATTTTTTTTATTGTGGTACAATACACATAAAATTTGTCATTTTAACCATTTTAAATGTACAATTCAGTGGCATTAAGTACACTAACGCTGTGCAACCACATACTATCTAGTTTCAGAACTTGGTATTCACCCCAAAATGAAATACCCATTAAACAGTTTTTCCCGATCCTTCCCTCCTCTCCCCCATCTGTGAACCACTAAACTATTTTCTGTCTCTTTGAATCTGTCTAGACAGGGTATTTCATATAAATGGACCCATACAATATGTGGTCTTTTGTGACTGGTTTCAGCATGTTTTCAAGGTTCATGAATATTGTAGTATGTGCCAATATTTCGTTCCTTTTTATGGTCAAATGATATTTTATTATATGGATGTACCAAATTTTGTTTATCCATTCATTAGCTGATGGACATTGGGTTGTTTCTCCCTTTTAGCTATGAATATCCATGTGCAAATTTTTGTTTGAAAACCTGTTTTCAATTATTTTAGGAATATACCTAAGAGTAAAATTGTCAGGTCATAGGATAATTCTATGTTTTAACTTATTGAAGAATCACCAAACTGTCTTCCACAGTGGTTATACCATTTTACATTCCCACCAGCAACAATTAAAGGCCCATTTTCTCTGCACCCTCATCAACACTTATTTTCCATTTTTTTGATTATAGCCATCCTAGAGAGTTTAAAGTGTTACCTCATTGTGGCTTTGATTTGCATTTCCCTGCTAATAGTGATGAGCATCTTTTTATGTGCTTGTTGGCCATTTGTCTATCTTCTTTAAAGAAATGTCTATTTAAATCCTATGCCTATTTTAAAAATAGAGTTGTCTTTTTGTTTTGAGTTGTAAGAGTTCTTTATATGTTCTGGATCTTTATTAGATATATGATTTGCAAATACTTTCTTTTTTTTTTTATTTATGGAATTTAGAAAGAGAGAAAGAGGAAGGGAAAGAGAGAAACATTGACTTATTCCACTTATATATGCTGTCACTGGTTGCTTCTTGTTTGTGTCCTGGCCAGGGATCAAACCCACAACCTTAGCATATTAGGACAACACTATAACCGACCTGGCCGGGGCCTGATTTGCAAATATTTTCTCCCATTCTGTGGCCTGTCATTTCACTCACTTGATAGTGTCCTTTGATCTACAAAAGTTTCAAATTTTGATGAAGTCCCACTTATCTATGTTTTTCTTTTGTTGCTTGTGCTTTTGATGTAGCTAAGAATCCATTGTCAAGTCCAAAATCACGAAAATTTACCCCATATTTTCTCCTAAGAGCTTATACGTTAAGCACTTTTTTTAGACCTTTGATTCATTTTCAGTTAATTTTTGTATGTGCTGTGAGGTAGGAGTCCAGCTTCATTATTTTACTTGTGGGTATCCAGTCATCCCAGCCCCATTTGTTGAAGAGTATTTTTTCCTTGTTGAATGATTTGGCACCTTTGCTGAAGATTAACTGGCCATAAATGAATGGGTTTATTTCTAGACTCTCAATTCTATTCTATGAATCTGTGTCTGTCCTTATGCCAGCACCACACTGTCTTGTGACATTGGGAAGTGTGAGTCCTCCTAGTTTGTTCTTTTTCAAGATTGTTTTGGTTATTCATGCAATTCCTATGAATTTTAGAATCAACGGTTCCATTTCTGTTTAAAAAAAAAAAGGCCATTGGCATTTAACTTTTTGATTTTTGAAGCATGGTAATGGATTGCCTATTCAAAATTTTAATTAACAATTTTTTTTTAAATCAGGAATTTCCCTTGTCTTCCCTAGAGGTCAGGCCTTCAGGCTCGCTTGTTTCCTCCCGCTAGGTGCCCTTTGCGTAAAAATTTTACCATCCTCTACTCTTCCTTCCTCCATTATCCCAGACCTTTAGAAAGTTCTTATGATCTAGTCTCTATTCTACATGCTACCATATCAGTCAAGTACAGTTAACCTTCCCTGCCTCTCTCCCCTACTCCCTCATCTGCTCCATCTTTCTTCCTTCCCATTCTCACTCCCTGACTTCCCCCCTTATTTAAAGCCTCTGACCCTCTTCCCTCATATAGAATCCAAGATTATAAAAGCTACAGGAGCTGTCAATTGATTATTCATTGTCCTCACTTTACAGATGTGGAAACTAAGGCCCAGAGAGAGTATGACTTGCCATAGAGCCAATGAGTAACTGAAGCAGGACCAGAATCTGGTCTGTTTCCTATTTGGTTGTATTTCCACTATGGCTTGGAATCTTGGTGAACAGACTTGTGTGTAGACCTTAATACCTTCAGGCCCAGTCCCCAGACTCTTGGTTAGGCCATTTTGCTCACCTTGGCCTCTTGAAGTCTGCATATAGGAGGGACGTGTCTTCTCCAAGGTCCCTACCATGGCTTGGTACTTGCTCTTTCCTGCCATTTTGAATCCACTAGGGGAAGTGAAACTATGAGGGGAGGTAAACAGTTGGGGTAGAGTTTTGAGGGTGACAACCACAGGTTATGTTTAGAGGTCCTCCCTAATGACTTGTGCGTCCCCCTTTATGTCTTATTGCAGACCATGATGGCTTTGTCAATGGTCCTTGTTTTCCTGCTGGTTCTGAGCAGAAGTGAGAGCAAATTGGATGCAAAGATCCCATCCCCAGGGGAGGCCACAGAAAGAAGGGATCCTGATCAGTCCCTGCCAGGACCCTGCCAGCCAGCCCCCTCCTGCCAGAAGTGCATCCTTTCACATCCAAGCTGTGCGTGGTGCAAGCAACTGGTAAAAATGGGCCTGTGGACTTTGAGCCACGTGTAGGTGTATCTGCAGCCTGGATATATATGTATGATTGTGTGGGCACATATGTGATTTTTCCTGGGTGTACTCTGCAGTCCTGTGTGAGACTGACTTTGTGCACATAGGATCCTTGTGTCTGACTATATGTGTGTGTGCCTGTACACTTACGTCCATACTGTGTATTTGTATATATATGGACACAATTTGTGACTATGAATTTGGAGGAAGTATGTTCTTGTTGGAACTCATTCCTGTGTAGAGGCAGAGGGACCTATTATGCATGTATACATGTGAAAAAATGTCAACTTGGGCTGCTGTAACAAAATACCACTGACTGGGTGATTTAAACAACAGGAATTTATTTCTCACAGTTCTTGAGGCTGGAAAGTCCAAGGCCTAAGTGTCAGCAGATTTGGTTTCTGGCGAGAACTCTCTTCCTGGCTTGCAGATAGGCTGCAGATAAACTCTTGTGTCTCTTCTTATAAGGGCACTGATCCCATCATGAGGGTTCTACCCTCACGACCTCATCTAACACTATAATTTCTTCCAAGAGGCGCTATTTCCAAATACCATCACACTAGGGGTTAATTCATAACAGAAAATGCATGACAGGGTCTCTGACTCGATGTTGGGGGTGGTGGGTTTGTTCCTAAGTATGTATCAGCCTGTGCCTAGGAAGGTAGAAGGGAAGGAGTTGGAAACCTGTGGGTTTGGGTGAAAGGCATGAGCTACCTCAGTAGCCAAGAAGGATCTTGGGGAGGAGGTGTCTCTCTAGCTGGTCAAACAAGGCTGTTCTTTATTTACATCTTAAAGAGACAGGGCTCATGGAGTGGCAGAACGTGAGAGGTGTCTGAGATGAGATGAGGTAGATTTAAAAAAATGGAAAGTTAGGTAAGAGTCAAGGGCAAACTCACTAGGAGGCAGAGCAGCAGAGGTTGAGTAGGCCTGGGAGAAGGGCACACAGTGAATCCGAGAGGACTGTCTGCAGTAGGCAGAAACCAGAGGTGCCAGGCAGATGCTCTTGGGACAGTCTGGTATATATCTACATCACCTAATCCACAGACCGGAGGCTGGCACCTGGGCCAGCTAAAAAGCCACTCTAACCATTTCCTTCCCCTGCGGCTTCCCAGCCAGTCCCAGGGGTATCAGACATATTAAGGGGAATGGGGTTTCCTTTTCTGTCCCTATCCTTTCCCCTTCCCAGGAACTGTGGGTCTTCACCTGCTCCTCTTCCCATTTTGGCCTGATCAAGCAGGGGAGGTTGAACTAGGAGACAGGGTTCCCCCTCCCTCCCCTCCCTTCCCCACCTCTCCCCTCCTCTTTTGTGGTAGTGAGGTCCCTGAGATTTTTAAGAGAAAGTCAGTCTGTGGCCCTAGTGGAAGGGAAAGGGTAGGTGGCTGGGGAAAGAGGGGAGTGGAGATAAGGGAGGAGAAGGGAGGGACCTATAGGAAGTAGGCTCTGACAAGGAAGAAAGGGCCAAGGGTTCAGGGATAGCTGTAGAAGGAAGGGGAGGGGAGGAAACCAGGCAGGCTCAAGGAGGGGAAGGGTTAGAAGTGGCTAGTATTGCAGGCTTGGAGCAGGCCTGGGGGGTCTACTCGGTGGTGGAGCGACGTGGGGGGACTACCTCTACCCTTGCGGTGCAGAACTTCACGGCATCTGGCGAGGCGGAAGAGCGACGCTGCGCCACTCGTAAGGAGCTACTGGCTCGGGGTTGCCCCCCCGAGGAGCTGGAGGAGCCCCGAGGCCAGCAGGAGGTGCTGCAGGACAAGCCGCTCAGCCAGGGCATCCGGGGCGAGGGGGCCACGCAGCTGGCCCCGCAGAGGGTGCGGGTCACACTGCGTCCGGGTAAGTGAGGGGAAGCAGGATCGGCGCATAGGTCTAGATGCAGATCGCAGATCAAATTCGCCCTGCTAACCCTTGGCCTCCCCCACCCTTGCCCCGCCCCCAGGGGAGCCCCAGACCCTCCAGGTCCGCTTCCTCCGGGCAGAAGGATACCCTGTGGACCTGTACTACCTTATGGACCTGAGCTACTCCATGAAGGACGACCTGGAGTTCGTGCGCCAGCTCGGGCACGCCCTGCTGGTGCGACTGCAGGAGGTCACCCATTCTGTGCGCATCGGTGAGCGCAGCGCGGCCCCACCACCTGCTAGCTCTCTGCTTCTAATTTCAGCTGCCGCCTTAGCCTCTGTCAGTGAAAGTTCTGGACACACAAGAGCCCCACCTGCCCTCTCCCAGTTTTTAACAGGCCACAGGTTGCTGACGTCTCTCCCCAAAGACATTTTCTAGGTCAGACTTGGAAGGGATTTGAGAGACTGTCCAATAGGACCATTCATTTTATAGGAAGGGCAACTGAGGCCCAGAGTCTGGAAAGACTGTGTTCAGACAGCTCCCAGGAGTCAGGCAGTACCCTGGACCTACCAGCTCAGTTACTGCCCTGATGGCACTGTCTAAGCCCTGTGTCTCTTGGACAAGGTCTAAATGCCACTGTCCCTGGCTGCACATTCTGTGCTCATCTTTTCTATTCACAATCCCTTCCTTTTGAGTTGCTACTACACCCTACCTCCTTCCTCAGCTTTCAGGAAACCCCTGCCTGACCCCCATCATGCCCTCCTCTTAATTCCCTCCATTTCCCACTTCCCTGAGCTGGTGGATTCAGCCCTTTGCCCCTGCCAGGTACTGGGTCCCTGCCCGTTAGCAACAGCTGGCTTCCATGACTCCCTTAGGATCATCCCCCAACTCCCCGTGGTTTCCTCCCCTCCTAGCCCTCAGCAGTGGCCCTGCCATCCCGCTGCTGCTGTCCAGTGACTTCTGGCACAGTTTTCATGCCTCCCTCATCCCAGGCTTTGGCTCCTTCGTGGACAAAACGGTGCTGCCCTTCGTGAGCACAGTGCCCTCCAAGCTTCGCCACCCCTGTCCCACCCGGCTGGAGCGCTGCCAGCCGCCTTTCAGCTTTCACCACGTGCTGTCTCTGACCCGGGACGCTGAGGCCTTTGAGCGGGAGGTGGGGCTCCAGAGTGTGTCTGGCAACTTGGATGCACCTGAAGGTGGCTTTGATGCCATTTTGCAGGCTGCACTCTGCCAGGTGAGGAGGTGGGGCAGGAACCTGAATCTGAAGGACTGTCTGGGGCAATGACTGCCACCTGTGGTTGTGCAGTACACAATTCTAGGCGGTGCCATTTGTGTTATAGTCACTGTAGTCTGCATATTTATTTTGACAATTTCTTAGTAAACTGGAGTGAAATATCTTGAGGAAGAGGCATGTTTTTCTAATTCATATAAGGCTTCCACTAGCAGCAACCCTGCTTGTGGGCAAGGGAAAAGGAGCAGGGGAGCTGGAGGCTGAGGTAGAGGCAAACTGACTCAGAATGAAGCTAAGTCCTTAGCGCCCTTGGCTGGCTGGGGTGGCTCAAGGGCCACGCCCAGGTGCACAGCCTACCTTCCACCCCACCCCGCGCTCCAGGAGCAGATTGGCTGGAGAAATGTGTCTCGTCTGCTAGTGTTCACTTCCGATGACACATTCCACACAGCTGGGGATGGGAAGCTGGGTGGCATTTTCATGCCAAACGATGGGCACTGCCACTTGGACAGCAATGGCCTCTACAGTCGAAGCCCAGACTTTGTGAGTCTCCACCCTCCTCCAAGCCCTCTCCATCTGAGCCACACCTCCTTTCCTCCCAGGATCCCCACCCCCAGCCTCATTCTCCTTACTGGTCACCACCCGGCTGTCTTCCCCAGCAGTTCCACCCCCACTGCTCAGACTCCCTAACTCCTCCCTCCCTTGCCAAGCCCTCAGGGCACCTCTAGCTGGTGGAACCCCAGTTCCTAGATTTCCTGGGCTGAGGTTGCCTTGCATGTTGTGGAGAACCTGTGGTGCTTCCCTTGTTCCCACTCCCTGCTCCAGGACTACCCCTCTGTGGGCCAGGTAGCCCAGGCTCTCTCTGCAGCAAACATCCAGCCCATTTTTGCTGTCACCAGACCCACGCTGCCTGTCTACCAGGTGAGAGCTGTCTGAATGTCAGGCCCTCCCACCCTGAGCCTTCCTCAAAGACCCATTCTTCTCTCCCCTACCTGCCCTCCTTCCAGACCCCCAGAAGCCCGTTTTTCTGAAGTTGTGACCCACCACTTCCCTTAACTTCTTATAATTCAGGAGCTGAGTAAGCTGATTCCTAAGTCCGCAGTGGGGGAGCTGAGTGAGAATTCCAGCAATGTGGTACAGCTCATCATGGATGCTTACAATGTGAGGGGCCAGGGTGGGGGAGAATGGCGAGGGCAGGCATTGGGAAAGGCGGGAAGGGGCCCTCAGAAGGGGTGGCAGAACTAAGAGGGAGCAATCACTTTTTGGGTAATGCTCCACAGCTCCTACCTGCAGTTTGCATATGGCTGTCATTAAAATATTCATTCAGTCTCACATTCATAAATTTTAAGTGTCTGATTTGTGCAGAGACCAGAGCCCAGCTCTGGGCAAGGATGGAGAGTAATGTTCATGGAGCTTTTATTATATGCCCAACACTCTCCTAAGTGCACATACTGTTTGCTATCTCAATTAATTTCACTAAAACCCCTGCTTGGTAACTATTACCATCCTAATTTTAGAGATGCAGACACAGATACATGGAGGCTAAGTGACTTGCCCAAGGTCACTCAGATAAAAGACAGAAGGGCTGGGATTTGTCCCCTAGTCAGGCTGCACATAAAGAACGTAACATCTGGAGTCTGCTTTCATTAAACTTATAAACAATTCAGATATTCTTCACAGGAACCACAGAATTTATAGGTGGAAGGAACCATAAAAATTCCTAGGGTGTTTCTTGGGTTTAGGTCTTATCTCTGTAACAAGACTATAAGCTTCTTGATGACAGGAGCCATGTCCTAAAACCATGGTGAGAAAATCTGAGACAGTACCAAGTTTCCCAGGACAAAGTCTGGGAGAAGTGTCCTTCAGACCTTGTATGTACACAGGCTGCATGTCCTGATTTGGAATTTGAAAACACAGCCACAGCACGTATACAGCTCCTGACCAGCCCCTGACCCCCAGCAGGCCCTTGCTGCAGCTGCATTGAAATACCATTAGAGGCCTTGGATCCCCCTGTATTCCCCTCAAGTTTCTCACAGGTTCTTCCTCCCAAAATACCTCCAGAGTAGGCAGAGTGGAAGGAGAACCAAGGTGGGCTGAGGGCAGGGTTCTGGCAGAATTTGGAATGACTGGAGGGGGCCTGAGGTGGGGTCGGAGTCCTACCTTCATGTGGTTACTCATTCTCTTTCCATAGAGCCTGTCATCTACTGTGACCCTTGAACACTCTACACTCCCTCCTGGGGTCCACGTATCTTACAAATCTTATTGTGGGAGTGATGAAGAGAGGGATGGCGAGGCTGCGGACCGCGGCCAGTGCAACCATGTCCGTATCAACCAGATGGTGAGAGCCAGTCAAGATCAGCAGAAGGAAGTGGGCGTGGGAGTGGGAAATTGTGGCAGGCAGGAAAAAAATAGGGAACAGGCACCGAGAGTAATACAAAAGCATTGGGTAGTCCTTCATCCATCCTTTCGGAAGGGGCTTAGTGAATGGCTTCCTCAAGCATGTTGCTAGGAGGGTGTTAGCATGACCCTGTCCCTTAATTTACTAAGGAGTAGGGTTCTGGATAACGATGGGTTTGGTGTGTGCACGTGTGATCTTAGTCTGATTTCTGCTCATTTTGTCCTCAGGTGAATTTTTTGGTTACTCTCCAAGCTACCAATTGCCTCTCAGAGCCCCATCTTCTGAGGTTCCGCGCTCTTGGCTTCTCAGAGGAGCTGACTGTGGAGCTGCACACTCTGTGTGACTGTAACTGCAGTGACAACCAGCTCCAAGCTCCCCACTGCAGTGGTGGTCAGGGGCACCTACACTGTGGGGTGTGCCGGTGAGGGTCTCTTGCTCCTCTTCACCTATGGGGCTCCCTATAAATACAGCCCCTGTATTCCTCTTCCTTCCATCCTTCCACTGGCATACCTATACAAGTTTTACCTAGACATCCCTAGACTGCATCCTGATTTTCATTTCCTGAAGCTTCTCAAATATGCTGAGACCCCCCCCCCCCCCACCCAGGACTCCCTCTGCTTTTACTCCTTGGTGCTTCACTATATTCCACATCCCTTCAGCCACTCATCTGTCTACAGCTCTTGTGAGATCCTGGAAATGACCAGTCAAGGGACAGTCACACTGTCTGACCCACCTTCCCCACCCCTGCCTTTCCCTCCCAGCTGTGTTCCAGGCCGCCTGGGTCGACTCTGTGAGTGCTCTGAGGCTGAGCTGTCCTCCCCAGATCTGGAATCTGGGTGCCGGGAACCCAATGGAAAGGGGCCCCTGTGCAGTGGGAAGGGGCAGTGCCAGTGCGGACGCTGCAGCTGCAGTGGACACAGTTCTGGGCGCCTGTGCGAGTGTGATGATGCCAGCTGTGAGCGACATGAGGGCATCCTCTGTGGAGGTACTTGGGGACTTTTGGGAGAAGGGTGGGATCAGAGTAGCTCTTCCAAGGGCATTTAGGTTCTAGCACCTTCAAGGCACTAAGGGCGGGTACCAGAGACTCTGGTATGAGTTGGAGCAAGCATCTGGCACACTTACGAGGGAACCGGATGCACAGAACAGGTCAGCTGTGATGTCCATTGTGTGCGGGGAATATGGTTGTCATCCTGTGCACGACTCTGCCCCAGGCTTTGGCCACTGTCAATGTGGCAAGTGTCACTGTCACAGCAACCACACGGGCACAGCATGTGAGTGCAGTGGGGACATGGATGGCTGCATCAGTCCTGATGGAAGGCTCTGCAGTGGGCAGGGACACTGCAAGTGCAACCGCTGCCAGTGCTCGGACGGCTACTATGGTGCGCTGTGTGACCAGTGTCCAGGCTGCAAGACACCATGCGAGAGACACAGGTGAGGCCTCAGGTCTTGCATGTTGGGAGCAGGGACACAGTGGGGCTCACTGAGCTTCTGCCACCTGCTTGCTTTCCTGCATGTGGTATGGGTGACAACTGCCCAGTTGGTAACTTATTGGCATATACTGGACAGGGACTGTGCAGAGTGTGGGGCCTTTGGGACTGGTCCCCTGGCCATCAACTGCAGCATGGCTTGTGCCCATGCCAATGTGACTCTGGTTTTGGACTCTATCCGGGATGATGGCTGGTGCAAAGAGAGGACCCTGGACAACAAGCTGTTCTTTTTCCTGGTGGAGGATGAAGTTGGAGGCAGAGTCACACTGAAAGTGAGACACCAAGAAAGTAAGTGGGCAGGGATGCCTTGGACATGCCAAATGGAGTCCTGGAAGTTTGAAGGGTAGGGGCCTCAGGACTCAGGTTGGGAACCAGGCTAGAGGTTGAAACAAAGCTGTGAATCCAGGCAAAAGTGGAGGTACTAGACCAACTAGACAACTGAAGATAACCCTACTGGTTTCCCTGTTTTGACAGGTAGGGCTGGGGAGGCTGGATGGGGCTGCATGCAGACTGTGGGGAACTGTTGATCTCTATATCCCAGACCCCAAAAATCTGTGTTGTTTCACCACCACAGAGGGAGCAGACCACACCCTGGCCATTGTGCTAGGCTGTGTGGGGGGCATTGTGGCAGTGGGGCTGGGGCTGGTCCTGGCTTACCGGCTCTCAGTGGAAATCTATGATCGCCGAGAATACAATCGCTTTGAAAAGGAGTGGCAGCAGCTCAAGTGGAAGCAGGTAAGACTGCCTCATAGCCCACTGGGCTGCGTTTTCCTTGCTTTTCTTGGTTAGGTCCTCTTTGCTCTCTGTTCTCATTCCACCCTCAACCAATTTCTCCCACTAAAGCCCCATCCCCAACTAGTCATATGGGGCCCGACCCCCCCGCCCCGCACCCTGCTAATGTCCAATGGCTCCTGGGGTCTGGCTCAAGTTCTTGGTTGGCTCTTACAACTAGATAATGGAGTCCTGAGACTTTTCCTCATCATTTCCAACCCTTTTCTCCAGGAGAGCAATCCTCTCTACAAAAGTGCCATCACAACCACTGTCAACCCCCACTTTCAAGTGATGGAAAGTCCCCTTGCCTGAAGGAGGTACGGATACTCACCCAAGGGTTGTTCTTGTTGGGAGGATGGTAGGAATTGGGGGTATGGGGTCTGTCAGGCAGTAGCCTGGCGGGGGACTAATCACCACCTACTTCATTCTCAGTGACACCTGGCTGCCTTCTACTGCAACCTTGGTTACAAGGATTGGGGGTTACCCCACCAGCATGTACAATAAAGTCTTACTTCAGATTGCAGATGTCATTTGCTTTACCCCAAAGCCTTTGCCTTTTGCCACCTAAGGGCAGGGAGAGGTGTTCAACCTTGAATGTGTGGGAGAGCCAGTATGTAGCTGGTAGGCTGGGCTAGTGAATTCCCAGGTACTGCTGGAGAACAGAGCACATTTTAAGAAACACCGTCTATTCTGGTTGCTGTTATCTAACCTCATTCTGCCTTGTTCTGCAGGGTTTTTTCCTTTTAATCAGAATTGGTACCTGTTCTTAATTCTACTTGCTGCTCTCCTACGGAGAAGGGGAGCTTCTAAAGTGGTGATTTATAGAGCACTGGAAGTTGTAGGATGGTTTTATTTGGGGGGAAAGAAAAAGAAGACCTCATTGGCCCCAGCGAAAAAGCTTCCTCAAAGGATATTCTTCTCAAAGATGAGAGAGTATGTAGAAAAGCCCCATTTTCTTTTTATTTAAATATCCTAAATATATCACGAAGGAACATACACTGCACTTTAATGGTAAAAAGATACAAGTTTATAACATCTTATAAAAACTACCATTTAAAAGTGATCTTGTTCATTTGATATCCCCCCCATAGCAAAATAAGTGTATTAAAAAAAAAAAAAAAAGAGAGAGGGAGGGTGTAGAGGAAGGGTAGGAGGAATTGTCAGGATAAAAGCCCCAGAGCTGCAGCAGAGGCAGAGAGCATCTGGGGAGAGGGTTAAAGTTGTGGCAGGACTCTGCGCCTCGTTTAACCCTCTAATGTCAAGCCATGGGGCACGATCAGTAGCTAAGTGATGAAAAGAGGCTGTTGGGGGTGGATGGGTGCTGGGAAGGACAGGGCTGGTAGGGCCTGGTACAGCAGCTCATCCAGGAAATGGCGCTACTCTTCCCCAGGTCCCCAAATTCCTCGTCCTGGTCTCTGAGAACCTGCCCTATCTCCCTTTCCCTTCACTCCGAACACACCTGAGGCATCTTTCCAGTGCTAGACCCCATCCCAGAAAATGAAGGGTGGGGTATTGGGCCCAGGAGCCTTTGCAGCGGTCTTGGTCTGTGGTTTCCCTGGGGTAGAAGTGGGGCTCCTAGGCCCTCTGGATGCTAAATCACCTTTTCACCTCTGCTCCTCTCTCCTTAAACATCCATGGCCCCAGAACCTGGGCAACTGAACCACCTGCTCCTGAGTGTTCCTCACATCCAATCCTTGGCAGGGGTGGTTCTGGTATGGCTCAGCACATCCACTCAGTCTCCTCTCTCCCACCCCCTCAGGCAGAAAGCTGAGGCCTGCTAGAGGCCAGAGCACATTTTGACCTAAACACACACTCACTCACGTGATTCTCTCCACACCCACCCACCCCAACCCACAACAGATTAGCTGCAAGTGGCAGGGAGCAAGACCCCCCATTTTCAAAAGCATTCTTGGGAGGACAGAGTTTTCTAAATGTATCCTCCTCCCCAGAATATATTCCTAGAGGTGAATGATAGACAAATTCCAGCCTGAAGAGCATTCTCACAGGAAGGGAGCCGGCTCACATGCAGAAAGATGCCCTGCTTACAGGGACCACAGGGCAGATCTAAGAACTGAGGTCTAGGTTCTGGGCACAACCAGTGAAGTGCCAGCCTAAAGCTAGAAGAGCAGAGGGCGGCAAATGCATTCCCCAAAGGATCTCAGATGCTGTTAGGGAAAACCGAAAGGGTGCCCTGCCTCTTTTCTCTTTCCCTGAAATCCTCGCACCTCAGAGGTATGAAGGACTGCCCCTACCCGTCCCTGCTGTCTCTGCCAGAACAGGTAACAGCAAGGAGTTTGTTGCTGCTGTTCCCTACAATTTCTGGGGAAAGGAATCACACTTCCTAGTGGTTGCCATCTCAGATCCTCACTGACAGCTTGGTCAGGTTCATCAAGTCTCCATGATTACTTCCCACCCCACTGCTCTGGGCAGGCCACAGAACACAGGGCACAAACCCCAGAACCTTCCATAAGGATCCTTTCCTTAGCAGGAAAAGGGTTTTTTATTTCACTTTAGAAAATTCATGTTCACAAACCCCTGGCTTGGGTTAGAAACACGCTAACCACCAGTCTGTTGAAATCAATCTTAAAAAACAAAAAAACACCCTCCAAAACAAAGCCCTATAGTTCCCTAAACCGAGTTCCTCGGCTCCTGCTGGAACCTTAAGCACCCTTCAAGGTTTGGGCAGGGAAGGCTGTTTTATGCTCATCCTACCCTGCACAGAGGGCCGGAGAAGGGTTTGGCTCAATAATATGCCATCTCCAAGCATACAAACATGAAACTCACATGCCACCCACACACACCCACACACACACACCCCACACACACCCCCCCACACACACCTCCCCCCCCCCCCCCGCAATCATTTCTTTGAGGGCGAGCAGGGTGGTGGTGTTAGAGCAGAGAGGAGCAAAAAAGTATGGTTAAGAATAAAACCTACATTAGGTTTCTTCCTCAGACCTTGCTCTGCAGCACCCCTCCCCCTAATTCTTTCGATGGGTAGGGAAGGCCATCAAAAAGGAAGCCAAGATCTTGTTCTTTGGGACCAAAGGCCAGATCCTTATCTCCTCTATTTAAATACAGTGATAGGACTTGGATAGAGAACAGCTCACACTGCTCTACAGTCATGTCAGGGGACACCAAACTCCTTTGTTTCCTGAACAGTTGTTATTCAACTTAGGAGGAGTCATGGGTGGTTCTTAACAGGGCACAAGGAAGAAGAACCTACTTTGATATCCATGACTCCCCTCTGTCTGGCTTAGGAATCAATGGCAGCGAGGTAGCCACAAACTATTTCCAAGGTTAACTGCCCAAAGAGAGAAGGAAAGGGCTTCGTGAGCCACCCTCACCCAAGTTTCCTCCAAAAGGCACTTAGGCTGACCCCATTAGGTACCTGTGTGGCATGGGCCGTTACAACACCCATGGGCACAACTCTCAGTCTTCCCCAGAGGAAATATCAGGTACCTGTCCACTCTTCTTGGATCCAGCCCTCGTCTGCTCCTCCTACTGGTCTTCCTTTTGTCCCTACAGTGTATAAGGAGGCCAAAGTAAGCTCAGCTGCCATCCCTGATCCTATTCTCCTCCAAACAGGAGGTGAGGTGCAGGGCTGTAGAACACTGAGGATCAAATGCAACTAAAAACTCAATTTCTGGTGGAGGGCTGGACCACCCATAGTCCCTGTGACCATGGCTCTATGCCTCCAGATTACCTGCATCCACAGTGCACCTGCTAAAACTGCTTTTGGATAAATTAAAAACAAGAACAGGACAAACAAACAAACAAATCCCTCTCTCCCAATCTTTTCCATTTTAGCTGCCAGCTGGAGTCCAAGGCTGTGGGAGCCACACTTCAGTCTTGGTCCTGTACCTTGAGTCCCCCACCTATGACCTCAGCCAAGGGTCTAGGGACTAGCTTTCCTACCCAGGAATGCTGTAGGAACTTCCCCGAGATACTCATAGTCTCAGATTATTTACAGAGCTGAGGCTCTGGGGCTGCCATCCCCTGATGCACTCTTCTGGTCTCCTGGGTCCACTCCTCCAGGAGGGGACAGGTACACACGGGGTGGTGGTGGGACCATCAGACCAGAGGGGGGGTGCGTTCTTCGGTATTCTTCTGATCACTCCCACCACCCAGGGCCCCTTGCGCCTATAGAGAAAACTGCCCGTCGGAAGTCTTGGACTGGCACCCTTGGCACATCCGTTTGTGTCTGAGTAATCGATCTGTCCGAGAAAAACACTGAGAAAAAAGAGAAGGTTAAGTGCCTGAGAGGAGAAACTCAGCTACCTGCTGGCTAGATCTGTCTTCCTCATACCGAAGGCACACGACCAATGCCACACTGCCTCGGAATCTACAGAGATGGCCTGAGTGCACAGTGGTTAAGAACGAGATCTGAAGTCTGAATCTTGGTTCTACCACTATGTAGTTGTGTGAGTTTGGGCACGCTATCGAACAGCTCTGAATCTGTAAATTCATCTGTAAAAGGGGGCTAAAAGTACCTACTCACAGTGTGGCTCCTTTGTTCATTGAATTTTTGAGTATCTATCTCAAGGCAGGCACAGCTCTTGGGGCTGCAGATAAGTGGAGAACGAGAGGGACGAAGTCTCTGCCTCATGGAGCTTTCGTTCTATTGTTTTGAAGACTTAATAGAAGAGCATGGAGCAAAGCTTGAGAGTAGTAAGGTATCCAGGAGGTATTGTCATCATTTCTTATCTCTTATTCTTTGTTTTGGCCCTGGCTCTTACATTCTCATCTGATCAGATACTGACCCCCAGAGCAGCAAAGGTTACATTTCTTCAAAGTGTACCAGCTCTGAAATTTGACTGAATCTTGGCTCTGTCCTTAATCTGCAGTGTCCTTGGGAAGCTTAAACTCTCCCAATCTCAATTTTTCCACATGTGAAATGCGGACAACCCAGCTACCTTATAGAGTTAATGTAAGAATAATCTATGTCAAGCAGGCTCTCACAGTACCTGGTATAGAGTAAGGCCTTAAGAAATGCTGCTGTTATTATTATTAGTATTACAATTATTTCAGTGGCCCCTCGCCATGATCAGTTATGTAAAGCCAGAGAAACACACCTCACCTTGGGGTACTAACTTGATCATGGCCAGGAACATCAGGTGATACTTTGTCAGGCTGGGAGTAGGGCCTGGCCCTGGCTCTTTGGGAAAGAAAAGTTTCTGTGTGTGTGTGTGCGCGTGCGCACGTGTGTGCGTGCGTGCGGGGGGAGGGGGGGTGGATGCATGACATGTGAGCTTACCTGATGACACCGTTCACACTGGTAGGGCTTTTCGCCACTGTGCACACGTTTGTGACGTTCCAGGTGGTACTTCTGGATGAAGCGCATATCACATACATCACATTCAAATGGCTTCTCACCTGGACCAGGTGGAGAGAGAAGTTAATATCAGGAGGTATACATGACAGAGACCACATTCTAGGTATTTCCCCAGAAATTTTTATTTTTAGCAATGTGCACACACTTAATGGGGAAGGGTCCACAAAACTGTTGGTCTCAATGACACTAGATACAAAGCCCTGCAAACTCTCTACATCATTCATTTACCTTCTTCCTTTATTCCTAATACCATTTAAAATAAATCCCAAAAGAACTACAGCCTCTCAAAACTATAGACTATTCTCCCCTCCTGGAGTATGAGCAAGAGACTTACCAGTATGAATAAGGATGTGCCTCTTGAGGTGGTAACTGCTCCTAAAGGCTCCAAAGCAGTGCTCACAAACAAAATTTTTGGGAATCTTTACTTGAAAAGAACCATTTTGTTCCACTACCACCACCTGGGGGCAACAATCAGGCATGTCATGAGGCTATCTCTCTGCCCCTTTCTTGCCCTCCACCCGCCCCCATTCTACTCAGGGTCTATTTCCATCTGCTGGTCAAAGTAACCCCTCAGATGCTATAATCTCCCATATCTCTTAGAGTTAAGAGGCCTTCCAAGAAAGAAAGTGGGGTAGGCAGGCTGCCTGCCTTGTCAGACGTAACACTTTTAAAGGGGCCTGAGGGGTAGTCTGCCTATCCCTTTGCCACAGGATCTCATGCTCCCCTAACCTTCCTTCCCTTACCAGGGATGTTCTGCAGAGGACGGAGATCAACTACCAAAGTGGTCTCTGGATGAAATCAGGGAGACACACTCACTAGCTGTGAGGGACCAAAACATCTAAGGAAAGCTCCAGGTTGAGCCACAGAATGAAGAAAGAGGAGGATTACCCCATGACCAAACTACATGTTTGGGGTTAACCCCATTACCTGCCTTTTTAACAGTCTTTTTTGAATGAGAGGCCTCAGCCAAGCTGTCTTCATCTTTGCGGTTCCGGGATTTATCGCTGTCTTTTCGGTGGCCCTTCAAATACAAATCAAATCTAAACTCACAGCCCATCTCAGAACACAAGATAGAAGACGAAATGCTGCTTTTAAGCAACTTGTAAATGACAGTAAATCACGTGCACGAAAGTTGAAAGTATCAGGTCTTAAGGGGTTGCAGACACAGAAGGGACCTTCCTAATCTCTCTACAATACCCATATTCATTCATTCCCCAGCTGGATTCCCTACCCCACTTCCCTCAGAAACATTGAACAATCAAAGCTTGGCATCTCCTGGCTGAGAGCTCGGGCCACCCGACCCCCAGGTGCCACAATGGACTCAAGCGCTGTACCTGACTCGAGCACCTCAGCACATCAGGGCTACCTGCCCGCTCTCCATTCTCGGCCTGCTTGCTGGCAATCTGGCTCAGCATCATCTTCTTGCTGGCTGCAGTGGGAACCAAACTCACACCTGCTAGGCCTTCACAAGCCAGGAGACTTGCCTAAGTTGAAAGGAGATGAGGTGTCAGGTCACCTGGCAGGGCAAAAACAGGGACCCCAGGGGTATTTTTCCTTTATTCCTAACTACAAACTGCTTATGTCTAGGGAATGTCTGTCACGGCAAAACCCTGCTTCCCTCATGAGTCCTTCCTAACTCATCTCACCAGGAACTAGTTACCTATTCTGTCATCCATCATTCAGACATAATAATCAAGTATCATTGACACTTTTATCATTAGCATTGTGCTAGGAACAGTGTGTGTCTACTTATTATTTTGAAGCAATTCTAGGCCTTGTGAATGCGCATGAGGGTCTGTCCCGCTGACCCACTGAAATGGGAGATTTCTAAAGGAACTTCCTCCTTCCTCTCTCAATAGCACTCAGCTTCACAGACTCTACTGGTACCAAATATATATTCTATCAGGTCCCACAAATATGTTTATTAGTAAAATTAGGTATTTCTCTCTTTAGATTTTAAATTCCCTAAGTGCTGTCAATTATAACATAAAAATTAAACCACAAGGAAGGACTCTGGAGTTGAATGTACAAATTCTCTTGACAAACCGCCAGGTCATTTACATGTGTGCACACCCATATTTTTTTCACATTCCCTTCTCTACATATAGGTAAAAATTATACAAGCAAGAAATGTTTAAGAAAATTTCCTCTTTCCACTGTTTCATTCTTCAAATTGCCTATTTAGCCAGCAGTAGAGAATATACTTTTTTTACTAAAGAGATTTTTAAGAAGTAGTTGTCAGCAAACTTCCACAAGTGATTTATGAAGAAATTCCTTTTAGATGATGAGTGTATCCTGGAACCCCTTCTCTCACCTTTAAGGACTTTGGACTGAATGGCCTGGAGGTTAAAAAAACACCCCCTGCCCCCCGCCCAAAAAAAACAGCCTGGCTGGTATGGCTCAGTGGATTGAATGCTGGCCTGCAAAGGGTTGCTGGTTCGATTCCCAGTTGGGGCACATGCCTGGGTTGCAGGCCAGGTTTCCTGCAGGGGGCACACAAGAGGCAACCACACATTGATGTTTCTCTCTCTCTAAAAATAAATAAAATCTTTAAAACCAACCAATCAACCAACCAAAAAAACCAAAAAAAACCCTCCTTAGCTTTACTGTTTGCATTATAGAATCTTAGGCAAATTCCTCTAAGTTTTCTTAAATGCGAAATGTTTATCATAGCATCTATCTTCACAGGGTTAAGAATTAAACTAGGATGTATGCCTAGTACAAAATTAGTGGTTAGCGAAAGGCACGCAGTCTTCTCAGAATGAGAGTGAACATGATGCTGTCAATGGGATGCAAAGAGACTAAAGGAAGACACTAAAGGGCTCCTACTCTGCATGGAAAGGAGGAAGCTATGCATGCAGCTGGAAGAAAACCAATTACACTGTGACCAGGCAACCATCCTGGTGAGACTGGTAGGGAAGGGCCTCTTGAAGAAAGTTGAGATCCCTGTTCATAGCTTTCATATTCAGACAATAAAAATAACCTAACAATAACCTTTCAGGTCATCCTGTCTCTCCAATCCATCCTGTATCCCCACAATGACAATTACCTTCTAAATAAACAGATCCGACGCCACTCTGCTACTTAACATTCTTCAGAATTCCCACTCTCTACAGAATAAAGTCTAATTCTTTATTAATGCCTAAAAGGCCCTTGGGTTACACTCTCCTTAATTCTCTAGGAGAATTAAGAGCTCCCTTAACAACTCCCTCACCCCAATTTTTCCACCCATCACTATCCATCCTATCCCCCTAACTATCCCCCATTTAAATCCTTTCCTCCTTAACTAGCAAGCAATCTGCAATACTCTCAACCTTATCGCATCCTCCCATACCTTTAAGCTTCTGCCCATAAAATTCTCCCAGTCTGAACACCTTGTTCTGATTATTTATCTAGCAAAATCCTATGCACCCTTCAAGAGTGATCTTTTTCCATCCAGGCAGAGGTATCATTCTCTTCTCTGCAATGTATGTATCTCAATTATTGCACATTCCTTCAGCAACAGATTCACTGAGTCTCTACTACAAGTCAGTTGCTATGCAAGGTGGTGTGAATATAAAGATAAATAACACCCTCTCTCCATCTTCCCCACCCCAAACACACCTAGCTTAGAACCTTGCTGGGGCCTGGGATAATCTTATTCATTTTTGTATCCCCAACACAATGCTTTGCATATAACAAGAGCTCAATAAATTCCTGTTGAAAAAACAAATGAAGCATTCACAAGACTGTTCACTTCGTCATGCCCCTCAGCACTTAATATTCATGTATTATGAATACATAATGTAAACTGTAATGTAAACCAAATGTAAACTGAGTAACTGCTACTTTGCAAGTGTCCCATCAGTGCCTGTGATGCAGTATAGCCTACCTCCTTCATTTGACTGGAAGCTCCCTGAAGGCAGGGGCTGTGGCCTGTCTCCTTTCCTTCCTCTAGATCTCCCCCTGGTGCTTAATACAGAGCTTGGCTCACTGGGTTGGTCAATATGTTGACTAAGGCAGCATTCAAGACTGAAACTGCGAACACGCTTCCCAGTGATCTTGAAGGAGGACTCTAGAGCTTTTTACCTGAGCCATGCTGATTTCTCACTTAATGCAACCCAAAAGTCCAGGGGTTTCTTGATCCACCTTTCCTTAAGACACTTTTGTCTGAAGAACTGTCACCAAATCACTCCAACAACTCCTTCATGTCCCTTCAGTCCTGCTGCCATATTGAACTGCCTTTGTCTTCAAATAAAACTCAGAGTCCTCCAAATGGAAGATAGATGATCCAAGAATTCCTGGACTCTGCCTGGCTCCTGCCTACTGTCTGAAGAAAGAGTGTGCCAGTCTTGGTTTTCCAACTGAATCCTCTCGATGAAGTGCACAATCTGTTTCAGAAACCTGAAACCAGAAAGGGAGATGGGGCTGTTAGGTACAACATCCTCAGGCCATACAACCTATAGTGAAGTTTTTGTTTTGTTTTGTTTTGTTTTGTTTGCCAGGCCCTCTAGGTGAAGCTCAAAAAGAGAACATTAGTCAAGTAGAATTATCTTTCTAGGTCGAGAAAAAACTGGTCTGCTGGGCAAAGGTCAGGGAGAAGTCAACAAGAGCAAAAGTAACAGGGGTCTCTTACGGAGGAACTGCAACAAGCCAAATGCTTGAATTTGCCATTTTAGGAATGGGAGAAGGGAGCTGAGGCCCTTCGGAGCTTTTGTACGGAGTAGGCCGTACGCGAAGCTCGTATTCTAGGGAAGTGGCCAGAGCCGGGATGGAGAAAAACTCAGGGCTATCTCTGGGCGCTTGGCTAGCAGGAAGAAACCAAACTAGTAGTGTGCATCCGGACCGGGCCACACGTGTGCCTGCTCCGAGTCTGCCCCATGGTGCAGAAACTCATTGCGGAGGTGGAAGGCTGGCAAACGAAGCCTCGCGCAGCGCGTTCCCTCCCTCCCTCCCTTCCCTCCCTCCCTCCCTCTCTCTTTCCAGCCAGCCGCAGAGCTGGAGAGAGAAGAGACGGAGAACGCCGAAGGCCGTGCAAGGTGCGTGCTCGCGCCCGCGTCCCCTCCAAGCAAGCTCCCCTCGCGCCCCCGTTCCCGGGTCTGTAACTCTGCGGGCGCGCGGGCGGGGTTCGGTGCGCGCGCGGACCCTTCCCCTCCCTAGGGAGCCCCCTCCCTTCGCAATGCGCCCCTCCTCCCTTCCCCTCCCCCTCCCCGCGCGGCGCCCCACGGCCTGCGAGCTGCCGAAGCGCTGGCGTCTGCCCGGACGACGCTGCGATCCCTGGGGCGGGTTCCTACCTGCCAGGCGCGGCCTCTAACTGTCTCACCCGCCGTGCGACGCCTCTTCCAGACCCCCGCACACTGTGCCAACCCCGTGTCCACCGCTGCCCCCGCCGGGACCGAGACAAGTTTACAAACACCAAACCCGGGCCCGCTTCCCCGGAAGCACTTCCCCCTCCCCCTTGTCCTCTCCGCTGATCTGTTATATCCACTTCCGGGCTGAGCAGCCTCGGGCAGCCAGAAAGGGGGCGAGGCCGAGGATGCGAGGAGCGGGGTGCAGCTAAGGAGTGGGCAGTGTCATCGTACGGAAAGACGGGAAGAGGGAGGGCTGGCGGTACCGCGCGTGCGCTCTGATGTGGGCGCGCTCCGGCGGCCATCTTAACTCGGGGCAGGAACGGAGGCCCTAAAACGATTGTGCGCTAGGTGCTTTTTGAAAGGCCTTGCTAAAGACTCCTTGAAAAGGCGCCGTCACTCTATCTATCTTCCTCGAGGACGTTCTTCCTGTCGTTTCTGAACTTAGAGCCCCAGCCAGAATAGTTTATACCGGCCTTTTCACATAACTCGGCCGCCTTTACTTGAACTTTACAATTAGGCCCAGATCTGCAGATTCTGGGGCTGCCCTGTCATCTGGGAGAGGAGTTAACTTCTTTGCACACTCCTCTCATGTACACTCAACTTCTATCTGAAAGTGGGCGCCCCGGCGGTGATGCGGGCACCCCAAGGCCAGTCTGGTTACCTTATACCAATTTCGCCTTTATTCCAGACCTTCCGGCGTCTGACATTGGCTTCGCTTGGGAAAAAACCCTTAGGACTACCCCAAATTGGAAACTCGTTTCAGTGGAAACTGCGATGCAGGATGGCCCATGGGCCTGGATGAAGAAAACGAGCCTTTCTTCAATTTTAGCTATCAGGGATTGCTTAAGGTGGACTATGAAAAGTGTGCTTGATGGAAATGTCCATTCCATTTAGGCCCCAGCTTCTTGTGTTTAGATGCTGTCAGGTTGTGAATTTAGGAGAATTAATGGAAATAGCAAAAGAAAAAGATCTTCATGAAAGAAGATAATTCCCAGCCACTTTTTGTACACAGGCTTCATTTCCCTGAGCATTCTATTATTTGAGCCACTGACAGTAACTTCTTGAATTCTTATAAAATTGAGACAAAGGATAGAGAGAGAGAAACGATCAGAAGTGTCTTTAATTTTTTTTAAAAAACCAGCTCATTTATTTTAACAAGTACACACACTACAAAAGAATAAAAGGCAAAAAATGTTTAATTTTCCCCTCTACTATCCCATGCTCCTGAAGGTATTAATTTTTAACAGTTCGGTATATATACCTCCAGGCTTTTCTATGTCCACATCAAATATTTTTTTCATTTAAAACATGTTTTTTAAGCACCTACAGTCCACCACACAGTATATTTTAGACATCTAAGTCAGTTCACATTTAAAAAATTGTTGCATAGTATTCTAGCTTGTGTTTGTACTTTAATTTGTCTAGACCCATCCTGATGAACATTTAGATTAGTTCCGATTTTTTAAAAATTAAACCTCCATAATGAACATCCTTATATAGTTATTCCTTTGCATTAAATAGATTTGTAGATAGGAAATGTGAATTTTAAATTTTAATAGATGCTGTGCAATTGAATTTCAAAAGTTTGTAACTATGCATTTACTCAGAACCATGTGTGAATGTCCCCATTTCCTACAATGTTCTCAATATTGGATGCTATGAATTTCTTATACAGTTGCTAATTTGATAGGTGAAAAATAGTAATTTTATTGTTTTAATTTGCCTGTCATTAATAGTGAAATTGAGTATCTCTTCTGTTTTGACCATTTTCATTGTTCTTGTAAACTACCTGTTCATCTTTTGCCCCTTAATGAAAAATGTAGGTCATTTGTCTATTTCTTATTGACTAGTAGGAGTCTTCTCTATGTTACATTAACTTTTTGTTTGTCATATGCATTTAAAATACTTTCTCTTGGATTTTTATTTATCTTTAATCTTTTTTTTTCAGAGCAAAAGTTATGCTTTAAGGGAAAATATTTGAAACATTCCTAGAAGGGAACAAGACAAGAATGTTTACCATCTTAACAAATATTCTACTAGAGTTCCTGGCCACCCCCCAAAAATCTCATTATACTCATATGATATATTCATCTACAAAGACAATCAATTGATAAAATAAACTAGTGAGTTCAGTAGCATGGCCAGATGTAAGATTAACAAACAGAAATTATATAATAAAATATAATGGTAACAACCAATCATAAAAACATCATAGAATAATTTCATGCACAATAAAACATATTACATTTATAGAAATAAATTTAACAGAAAACTGCAAGTCATATAGTATTTTTTAAAATTAGACTATTTTAGAGAAAGACTAAAAGGGCTTTGTTAAATGGAGTTTTACCATGTCCATTAGGAGGAAGACTTAATACCAATAGAGACCTAAGTTTTTGCTCTATGTTAAGTTAAATTCTAATTAAAACAGGACTTTTCATGGAACTTAAGCTTATTTTTAAATTTACATGGAAAGAAATGGAAGGAGAGGAAAAATCATTTTGGAATACATTGAGTGGGTAGAAAAATGAGTGGGGAAAAATAAAGTCATCAGTTATTTTTAACTAATTTAATGGTGTCTTTCTTTATACAGAATTTTAAAAGTTTTACCTAGTCAAATCTGCCTGTGGCTTTTGGGTTTTTGTGACATGCTACCTCAAAATTATAAAAATATCCCTGTACTTCCTTCTGGTACTCTTTTCTTTTTTTTTAAATTTAAAGATTTTATTTATTTTTAGAGAGAGGGGAAGCGAGGGAGAGAAACATCAATATGTGGTTGCCTCTCACGCATCCTGTACTCAGGACCTGGCCTGCGACCCAGGCACGTGCCCTGACGGAATCAAACCAGCGACCCTTTGGTTCACAGGCTGCCATTCAATCCACTGAGCCACACCAGGCAGAGCTGGTATTCTTATAGTTGTATATTTTTAGTTTACACATTTGTCTCAGCTGCAGTTTGTTTTTTGTGTATGGTGAGAGGTAGTGAGGAATGCCATACTTAAAAAGGACCCATAATGTAGTGGCAGAGGTATCAGCCTGGAAGTCAGAAAGCAGCAATCTAGGCTCGTTCCCATATTACCTTTGTAATCTTGAACAAGTCAATTTTCTCTCTCTGGCCAAAGAACCCTCATCTTGAAAATAAGGACAAATAGCCCCAGCTGGTGTGGCTCAGTGGACTGAGCGCCAGCCTACAAACCAAAACGTGGCCCTCTGGGTTTCTGGCCAGGGCACGTGCCTGAGTTGCAGGCCAGGTCCCCAGTTGGGGGTGTGGGAGAGGCAACCCATCAATGTTTTTGTCCCTCTCTTTCTGTCTCCCTTCTCCTCTCTAAAAATAAATAAAATCTTTAACAAAATAATGATGAATAAATAAACAAATACCCTTGAGGCTAACTTCTAGCATTACTGTGAGAAAATAATGACATAGATGAGAAGGCTTTGAGAAGAAAAAACCCTTCATAAATCCTTTAAGTTATCATTAATACAGATTTTTGGTTTATGCAAATCAAATTTAAGTGGAATGCAGTATTATTTTTTTTTCTGTACTTGGAAATAGTTGGTTGAGTCCTGACTGGTGTGGCTCAGTTGGTTGTGTGTTGTCTCGCAAAGCGAAAGGTGGTGGGTCGGATTCCTGGTCGGGGCACATGCCTGGGTTGCAAGTTCAGTCCTGGCCGGGGTCAGGGCACACGAGAGGCAACTGATTGAAGTTTCTCACATTGATGTTCTCTCCTCTTTCTCCCTCCCATCCCCTCTCCCTAAAAACTAAGCTTAAAAATTAAAAAAAAAAAAAAAAAAAAGACAAAAAAAGACATATCCTTACTTGATCCGTCATAACAGGCTAAATGAGTTTAAAATAAAAAGTTGGTCGATTCACCAAATGTTTATTGAGTGCCTTTGTGCAAGACCTTGGGGGAAGGGAGTGGAGAGTGGGGAAAATGAAAACTAACTTTTTTTTTTGCATGCTTATTTTGTATTTGGTGCTTTTCTTAAAGAATGATAAAAATTAGTCCTCTCTCCCCAGGGATTTACAATCTAGAGGGGGAGCAAACAGTGGCTGTAAAAAGAATAGGTGCCTCTGTTAAGGTGGATGTTGAATCGGTAAATAGCACAGAATCAGTGTTTTCACTTTCTAACGATAAGCCTGGCTGAAAGTGCTTTAAGAAGCTACTTCCCTAATCTCTTTGTCGAAGGGCAGGCCCCCTCCTGTGAGACCTTCCCTGACTCCCTTGGTACACTCTTTCCTCAGTCCCACCCCATCACTTACTCAAGTGGTATTGTAATGAATACCAATTAGTGTCTTCCTGCACCCGCTCTCTATAGCTTTAAGGAGAGGCTGAGCTGAGTTCACCAGCCTTGCTGTTCCTTCGTAAGCTTCCACTCTATTGTGGTGAACATTCCTTTATTTTACCTGCCCGGCGCCCTTCTGGCCTGTTAGCTGTAGTGCACAGTGCAGACACTACCCAGGGTAGTGACAGAAAACAGAAGTAGATATTCAGCCAATGTTTACTGAACTAACTGAACCCAATCCTTTCTATGAGAGCCAGCTAGGCTGCGTGATAGAAATGAGCAGTATATTGCTACCTTTGTTACTCAGACCTTTTTGATGATAGTTGATTGAGGAATTGGGAAAACACATGATGTACTATGGTCATTCCTTGACCCTTATACGTTGTGTATTTTGGAATTCTTGTTGCCCCTTACATCTTCTTGTTGTTGTTGTTGTTGTTGTTGTTGCTTAAAAATAACCTCTAGTCCTGGCCAGGTAGCTCAGTTGGTTGGAGTGTCATCCCATGCACCAAAATGTTGCAGGTTTGAGTCCCAGTCAGGGCACATACCTAGTTTGCTGGTTGATCATTGGTCAAGATTCACACAGGAGGCAACTAATCATCGTTTTTCTCTCACATCAATGTTCCTCCGTCTCTGTCTCTGTGTCTGTCTCTCTCCCCACCCACCTTCCTCTCTCTAAAATGAATACATATATCTTTGGGTGAGGATTTATAAAAAATAATCTTTACTTTAATTATATAAGTAATATTAACCCTGGCTGGTATGGCTCAGTGGATTTGGTGCTGGCTTGTGAACCAAAAGGTTGCTGGTTTGATTTGCAGTCAGGGCACATGCCTGGGTTGCGGGCTGGTTCCCCAACTGGGGAAGTGCAAGAGGCAATTGATCAATGTTTCTCTCTCACATCGATATTTCTCTCCCTCTCTTTCTCCTTCCCTTCCCCTCTCTCTAAAAATAAATAAATAAAATCTTTAATTATATAAGTAATATTAAATTATTATATAAAATTATAAAAATATAGAAGCATATCAATAAGAAAGTGAAAACTGTAATTCCAATACCCAGAAATAATCACAGTTAATATTTTGAAGACTTTTTCCATCTTTTTCAGCCTTTTTGCATAGGGAGTGACTGCTAGTAGGTATGGGGTTTCTTTTGGGGGGGGGGTAAAAGTGTTCTGAAATTAAATAATGTAATAGATGCACAGCTTTGTGAATATACTAAAAAAGCCCACTGAGTTGTACACTTTAAAAGGGCAAACTTTATAATAGGCTACCATTTTTCTAACAATGCTTGTAGATACAGGTACACAGTATTGTCTTCTTTTGAACTGCAAATTACAGTATTTATGCGCCTTTACTGCTACATATTTCAGCATGTGTTTTCTAAAAATAAGAATTTTCTCTTCTATAACCACAATGCAATGGTCAAGCTCAGGAAATTTAACACTGATAGAATACTAATATTTATGATGCCATTCATAGTCCGGTTCCACCAGTTTTCCAATAACGTTGTTCAAAGCAGGTTTTTTCTTCCTTGTTCAAGAGCAGATCTAAGATCACACATT